CCCCACCTGTCGCCTGAGCAGGGTGCACATGCACCCCCTATGTATTGCCAGTATTTCCAGTGTTGGTATTTCTGGGCTTTGCTGGTTGCCCAGTGTGGCCAGGAGGAAATTTTATTTCCCTCCTGCTGCTATGTTAGGGGTTTTTTTTGTTTTCGGTTTGCTTGTTTTTTTTATTGAGTCTTCTTTGGAGACATTGAGTGTTGGCTGCAGCCAAGCAGGGAATTTTGACTGGGGTGTGCCAATGCTCCTGCTGGGACCTAAGCCCAGAGTTTCCCAATTAGAGGGTCAGTCTAATCATATTTGGGGTCAGGAAGGAATCTTACCCCTGGTCAGATTGGTGTAGACTGTGTGGGTTTTGCCGTCCTCTGTAGTGGGGGGCATGCCCTGTTCCTTGGATCCCTTGAGCATTTTTTAACAACCTTTGTAGCAGCAGGATGTTGGCTTCCATGGTCCCCCTGCTTTATCTGTGGCAGGTTAGGGTGTTATGTTCTGTGCTTGTGTCAGGGTTGACTATAGTTTTACTAAGAGGTTAAACAATAGATTTATATAGGATGATTTGGATGGGGATGATTCTGCTTCAGGCAATGGATTAGACTCGATGACTTCTGAAGATCCCTTCCAGCCCTACTTCTCTATGATTCCATGATATATGCTTCCCCCATTCCAGGACTGCTTTGCGGTGGTGACTGGTGGTGTGAAGGAGACCACAGAGCTATTAGAGAACAGATTTGACTACATCTTCTTCACTGGTATGTCCCAAGTGACCCTGCCCCAGCGTTACCCTCTCTTCCACCCCTGAAGAGGGGCACATGCTCCAGCTTCTACTCCCTTGCTTACCTATTTCCTTTTCTTCTAAGGAGGTAGCAACCAGCATTCCCCACCAGAGCATTGTGTGAGGTCACTGAGTTAGTGCCCAGGTTAGGGAACTTGTGCCCTCAGTGCTGCCTTGAGTACTAGGAGGGGGTGCTCCAGGGGATGCGATCCCAGCTGAGTGGCAAACACCGAGGTGGAATCTTGGAGCCAGGGTTTGGGAGGGGGCTCCTGCAGCTGAATGAGAGGGTCTGTGTTTTTCCTGGGGCAGAGTGAGGGTGCATATGTCTTACCCCAGGCCTGGTTCTTGGGGGTGTGGAATATTAATGACCCTGTTGATCAGTGGGAATCCTTCAACTTCTCTTGGCCCCACTCGTACTAAGAGATACCAAGAACGTGTGCTCCTCACTTTTCTCCCCTACAGGCAACTCCAGCATAGGCAGGATCATTATGGCAGCTGCTGCCAAGCACCTGACACCAGTGACATTGGAGTTGGGGGGCAAGAACCCCTGCTATGTGGCTGAAGATTGTGACCTGCAGAATGTGGCCAACCGGGTGGCCTGGGGCCGCTTCTTCAATGCAGGACAGACCTGCATTGCGCCTGACTATGTGCTCTGCAGCCAGGAGACACAGGAGAAGTTACTGCCTGCCTTGCGCCGCGCTATCACAGAATTCTATGGTGCTAACCCTCAGGAATCGCCTGACTTTGCCCGCATTGTCAGTGACAAGCAGTTCCAACGCCTGCAGGCCCTGATGAATGGTGGATGTGTGGCCATTGGAGGGCAGACGGATGAAAAGGAGCGGTACATTGGTGAGGGACCCTGTACTGCGGACATGGGTTTTGGGGGAGTACCCAGATCTGTGTGACAGAAGAGGATGCAGGCAGTGCAGGGCACCTCCATGTTGAGATCTAGGTAGTTGGGGAGACAAGAGCAGAGAAGCTGCAGTACAAGGGCAGGGCCATGGTGGAGGATAACCCCTGATGATTGTGGTAACTCCTGCCCTTCTGTAGCCCCCACAGTGCTGGTAGACGTGTCGATATCAGCACCTATCATGCAGGAGGAAATCTTTGGTCCCATCCTGCCCATTGTCACTGTGGCCAACGTGGAAGAAGCCATCAACTTCATCAATGCCCGGGAACGGCCGCTGGCTGTGTATGCCTTCTCATCTAACAAGAAGGTATGTTCCCAGGCCAGGAGAACAGTGCCTGATCTGGGTGAAGTAAAATCTTGCTTAGGAGGCCTGGGGACTAGACAGAGAGCAGGGCAGAGGAAAGGCAGGGCCCCAGGGCTTTGTGCTCAGGGATCATTTTACCTGCTAACATATGCCTGAGGAGATAGCATTGTGATGACCTCTGCTGAGGCATGTGTGCACAGGATAAGTGTTTCCCCTTTGTTGCCCACTGGTCAGGTTTTATTGGTTTTGCCTCCTGCTCATTCTGTGTTAGTCACCCTGCATGGGTTACTTACGGGCATGATAGAGGGCACTGGAGCAGCAGTGGTGTGTGGTTTGATGCTGCAGTGTGGAGCTTGGCTTTTTCATCCCCTTTTTCTACCTCCCTTAGGTATTGAACGAAGTGCTGAAGCAGACAAGTAGTGGTGGCTTTGGAGGCAATGACACCATTATGCATATGACATTGATCACGCTGCCGTTTGGTGGAATTGGTATGTCTGGGTCTCCTACCTTGCCCTCACCAGTGCTGCCTCTCTGTCTTTGTGCTCCCTACCACTGTTCTGGGGTTCAGCCCCTCTACCTTCCCCAGCTGAAGTGCTTCAAGGGGCATAAAGGTGTGTGATTCTTCCCCCAAGTGCCAGAATTGCGTTCAGCCTGGAGGATAAATGCTGGGCTGATCCTGGGCAGCCCCTGGGTGGCTAGACTGCTGTTTGTTGAACAGATCATAGCCAAATGGGGTTCAAATCTAATCAGTGTTGGCTATTGCTGCCACAAGTGCTGAAGAACCCCAGTGCACCCCTTGCTGGACCAACTGCCCAGGGACATGAGGCAGGGTGTTGAGTCTGGCCTCTCCTGTGTATGGGACTATGCCACATGTTTGGCCAGCTGACTGAGAGGATGGTGCCCTATGACTATTGGGATTTCATTGAGAGGCTCAAGAACACACTGATCAGTGTGTCTGAGCCTGATGCAGCCAATCTCTGGCTCTGTGTTAGTTGCTAGTTTCATGAGCCCCATGCCATGAAACAGGGCCCAGTGAGTTGGCAATAGGAATATGAGCCATAACACTGAAGAGACCCGCTAGCTCATTGAGTCCAGTGCCATGTTATCAAGGGTATCTGCTTTTTCTTCTTCATAAAAAGATTGATCTCCATCTGGGAATTTTTCAGGTTGCTTCCTCTGACGCTTTTGCTGGGAGGCTGCTCCAGAACCACACTGCTCTAATAGTTCAAAACCTTCTCGTAATTTCCGGCTTCAGTTTATTTCTGGCCAATTTATGTATGTTTGTTCTTGTGCCGACATTATCTTTTAGATTCAAAAGCTCTTCTCCTTTCCTGGTATTCTCCTCAGTTCATTATTTACAGAGAGCAGCCAGTTTTCTTCTCAGCTTTTCTCCTGCAAGGCTAAACAGCTGGGGTTCCTTATTCTCTCATTACTCCCCTGATCATCCTAGTCATCCCTTTATGCATCTGCCGCACTTTGAGTTCATCTTTCTTGAACTTGGATGACCAAATTGTGCTCAGTTTTCCAGTCTTACCAAGGCTGTCTCCATGGACACTGTCCTGTCTCTACAGGAAAGGTGTCTTCTGCTCCATCCTAGGATCACATTCCATGCTTGCATCACATTGGTGGCTCAGTTATCCTGTGACCAACTGGTATCATTGCTTTTCTTCCCCCTCTGTCTTTTCATTGGATGAGATGTAGCAAGTGGTAGAATCTTTTTCAGTTAGTCTTTCAAGTCTGTACTCTTAAATTTTATCCTGCTGCTATTCCTCCAGTCTTCAAGTTCATCCAGTTGTTTCTGTATGATACTCTGATCCTCCTCTGTAGTGAAGATGTCTCCTACTTTGATGTTATCTGCACATTTCATTAGCCCACTTCTGCATTTTGTGTCATATTCATCAATGAGAAGACTGGATAATGACTAAACTTGGCCCCAAGACTGGCCATTAAGGAACTCCACCCACAGAAACCCTTAGTTTCTCTTCTTGGCACCACCCATTGTCATTTCCTCTGTAGCCAGGCCCTTACCCATCTTGATTAACTGACAACTGAGTCCAGACAGGTTAAATCAAATGCATTTCTCTTATCTGTAATATGACATCAAATTAATCAGGCATGATCCATCTTTGGTGAACCTCTGTTGCTTTTTATCCCATTTACATTTATCTCCTATTTTTAATTATTCCTTCATTCACAATCTTCAGTGTGGTTACTGGATTTCCTATTCTCCTGTCTTGTGCTACTGCCCTGATTTGGTAGTTTGATTTTATTCCTTGCTTCCTGGCTGCTGGTTGCATGGGCCAGTTCTTGCAGTTCTCTGG